CCTACAAGGAAGACCAGTTAATACGACTATTATTCAAATTTACACACCAACCACCGAAGCCAAAGATGAAAAAACTGAAGATTTTTACCACCTTCTGCAGGCTGAACTGACCAAACATGCAATCAAGATGTGTTGATTATCACTGATGATTGGAATGCAAAAATTGGAAACAAAGAAAAATCACTGGTAGTTGGAAAATATGGCATTGATGAGAGAAATAACACTGGAGATCACATGATACAATTTTATAAGACCAATGACTTATTCATTGCAAATACCTTTATTCAACAACACAAACAATAGCTATAGACATGGACTTCACCACGCAGAGTACACAGGAATCAGACTGTCTACATCTGTGGCAAGAAGTGATGGGGAAACTCAGTATCTTCAGCCAAGACAAGGCCAGGAGTTGACTATGAAACAGACCATCAACTGCTCATATGCAAATTCACACTGAAGCTGAAGACAATTAAAACAAGTCCACAAAAGCCAAAATATGACCCTCCTGAATTCAGAGACCCTCTGAAGAACAGATTTCATGCATTGAACACCAATGAATGAAAACCAGAGGAACTGTGGGAATGACATCAAGAACATCATCCATGAAGAGAGCAAAAGGTCATTAAAAAGACAGGAAACAAAATACCAAAATGGATGTCAGAACAGACTATGAAACTTGCCCTTCACCGGAAAGTAGCTAAAGCAAATGAAAGAATCAACAGGTTAAAAAAGAGCTGAACAGAAGATTTCAAAGAGCAGCTCAAGAAGACAGTCAATTATTTGCACATTTCATGTGCAAAGACCTGTAGTTAGAAAACCAAAAGGGAAGAACATGCTAGGTGTTCTGGTTACCTAGTGCCACTCTGACAAGAATATACCACAAATGGGATGGCCTTAACAAACAGGAGTTTATTTTCTTACAATTTGGAGGCTTTAAGTCCAAGTTCAAAGTGCTGGGCTCTAGGGGCTGGGTGAAAGCCCCGCAAACTCGGGGTCTAGCTCTGCCTCCCGCTCCTGGCCCACTAGAGCTAGAGGCATTTCTTCACTCAGACAGCTGCTGGCTGCTGAGGCTGATAAGCCCAAGGTTGACAAGTAAAAAGGCACAGTTCCAATGTTACCAAATCACACAGCAGGCCATTAAGTCCATTTTAAGTCCCAAGGTCAGCAGAACATGGCAGGCTGCTGAACAACGACACAGCTACATGCAGGGTCCAAGCATGTCATCTGCTAGAGACCATTCCCCAAGGCTTCTCCTTATATACAGGAAGCAGACCACATCCCTTAAGGCAGCTACTCAGGTGCTGACAGTAGATTCCACCATGGAGTTGATTACAAGTCTCATCATGGGGAATACTACATCCAGCTGCCCAGCCACTCAACCAGGCCTTGCCAAGTTAACACACAAACTTAACTACCATACTTGGCATTTCCCAAGCTGAAAGAACTGAGGGAAAAGTTTAAGCCTCTAATTGAAATATAGGAGTTCTGGTGGTGTAGCGCCTAAGGCATTTGACTGCTAACCAGAAGGCTGGTGATTCAAACCCACCAGCCACTCCTCAGAAGGAAGGGGGCAATCTACTGCTGTAGTGATACTGCCTCAGAAACCTAAGGAGGGGTCATTATATAAGTCAGATCCAGCTCCACAGTGGAGTTGTGTTTTGTTTGCAATTGCAATATTTAAAGATTCCATGGGCAATATGTTGAATGATGCAGGAAACATCAAAAGAAGATGGAAAGAATACTCAGAGTCACTAAACCAAAAGAAAACTGGTAGATGATCATTTCAGGAGGTGGCATATGATCAGGAACCAATGGTATTGAAGGAAGAAGTCAAAGCTGCACTAAAAGAATTGGTGAAAAACAAGGTTCCAGGAATTGATGGAATACTCACTGAGATGTTTCAATAAACGGATGCCACGCTGGAGGCACTCACTCAGCTATGCCAAGAGATTTGGAAGACAACTATCTGGCCAACTGACTAGAAGAGCTCCCTACCTGTACCCATTCTAAAAAAAGGTGATCCCACAGAATGTGGAAATGATTTAACCATATCGTTGATATCACATGCAAGTAAAATCTTGCTGAAGGTAATTTAAAATGGTTGCAGCAGTATATTGACAGAGAGCTTCCAGAAATGCAAGCTAGATTCAGAAGAGGACGTGGAACGAGATATATCATTGCTGATGTCAGATGGATCTTGGCTCAGAGCAAAAAATACGAGAAAGATGTTTACTTGTGTTTTACTGACCATGCAAAAGCTTTCAACTGTGTGGATCATAACACATTATGCATAACATTAAGAAGAATTGGAATTCCAAAACACTTGATTGTACTTATCAGGAACCTGTCCATAGACCAGGAGGCTGTCATTCAAACAGAACAAGGAGATACTGCATGGCTTAAAATCAGGAAGGGAGTATGTCAGGGTTGTATCCTTTCACCATACTTATTCAATCTGCATGCTGAGCAAATAATCCGAGAAGCTGGACTATATGAAGAAGAACATGGCATCAGGATTGGAGGAAGACTTATTAACAACCTGCAATACGCTGATGACACAATTTGAGTTGCTGAAAGTGAGGATGACTTAAAGCACTTACTGGTGAAGATTAAAGACTTCAGTCTGCAGTATGGATTATATCTCAACATAAAGAAAATGAAAATCCTCACACCAGGACCAATAAGCACCATCAAGATAAATGGAGAAAAGATTGAAGTTGTTAAAGATTTCATATTACTTCGTTCCATAATCAACACCAATGGAAGCAGCAGGCAAGACATCAGATGACGTATTGCACTGGGGAAATCTGCTGCAAAAGACCTCTTTAAAGTGTTGAAGAGCAAAGATGTCTCTTTGAAGATTAAGGTGCACCTAACTCAAGTCATGGTATTTTCAATCACCTCACATACATGTGAGAGCTGGACAATGAATAAAGAAAACCACAGAAGAGTTGATGCTTTTGAGTTGCAGTGTTGGTGAAGAATACCCAAAGTACTGTGGACTGCCAAAAGAACAAACAAATCTGTCCTAAAACAAGTCCAGCCGAAATGCTCCTTAAAACCAAGAATGGCCAGACTTCATCTCACCTACTTTGGTCATGCTGTCTGAAGGGACCATTCCCTGGAGAAGGATATCATGCTTGGTAAAGCATAGGATCAACGAAAAAGGGGAAGACCTCAATGAGATGGACTGACACAGTGGCTGCAATGATGGGCTCAGGAATAGCAAGGATTGTAAGGTTTGTACAGGACTGGGCAGTGTTTCGTTCTGTTGTACACAGGATTGCTGAGTAGGAGATGACTCAACGGCACCTAATAACAACAACAAGAATGAGGAAAGGAGGTGATTTACTCACAATTAAAAAAATTAATGGCAGAGTCAAAAACAAAAGTCACAATTTTAGTTGGTCTTCTGGGATGTCCTTCCTTAATCTTCATACTAGCACTGCACAGGTCTGGGTATATTCTCTTTATTTTATGAAAGTAAATGGCTGTTTTGATCAGATCTACTTGAATAATCGAAAAATGAAAAGCGAACCATTTTTATGGTTCATTTTCTCCAACAAATTTAATAGTATTAGTACATGAGACGTGGTATTTAACAGGTTATAAATGGAAACAAGTAATTAGTCTTACAATTTGTTGGAAGCAATGCAGTTTACTGACTTTTTGAAGAAAAACAACAATGAAGAAAGAAGTAATTAAACAATGTGGTATTAATTCAATAATTAAAGGCACAGCTTTCCACAACCTGTTTCATACTCTGTGCCCAGCAAATTTTCTCAGAGAGAGAAGTTAAGCAAAATAAGGCTTGCATTAAAAATTACATTTTAATACCATTGATATTATTCTATCTTATAACAAAGGCTCTATAAAATCCTTCTCAGATTTTATAAAGTGCAACATAAAACTTGTGTAACAAATGAAAGTAAAAATAGCTTTAAAGACCCAACTACCCTCTGAAATCTTTCACAGGAGTACATATAGTACAAATACAGTATTTGAAACTCAGTAAAAGAATTATTTGATTAGAGCATGAACTTTTAATTTGAAGATGGTATTTTCCAGGAATGTTTCACCCAAAGTGAGGCTAAAGCAAAAAAAAACTTGCAGTCTGGTGATTAAGTGGATGAAACAATTTTTCATTAGGTCATAAAAATTCCCTTAGGTAGGAAATGCTTTATCTTTAAACTAATTATTCCCCTTTTTGTTCTATAGTTCATGCTTTTAAATTGCAGTTGCTTCAAACTTGCTTGATAATTGAATTTTGTAATGTAGATAATGGTAGGCTGCCAAAGTTTAATCCCAGTGGAGCAGTATCTAAGCTGCTTTTATAAGAAACATATTGCTGAGCTGCCTGACAGTTGTTTTACATAAACCTTATAGAAGAACTCAGTATAGTTGATCATTCATTATCCCTTCTCAAATAAAGGCATGTCAGAGGAATTGTTTCTAAAAGAGGCTTTCAAACTAGTCCTTCAGGCCATTTAAAAAAATCCTTCATATAAAAGTCTACTTCTTTAATATATAAGAACTAACATTTCTCCTTTAAAAAAAATCTCATTTTTAAGCCAAAATAAATTACAACTTGCTGAAATACCTTTTCCAATGGCTCAGTGCTTATTTCAGATACATGGAGCTTTATGTTGACGTATTTTCAGAAATTAGATATACTGAAACAGTAGTTAGCTGTAAAATGACATGATGATATAACCCTGGCTCAGGGAACAGATCAAGTTTTAATCTTCAGGAATAAAAAACTGATACTCATCATCCGATATATATAGTCCTATATTATGTACATATTAACAAACTATTCAATGAAAAAAAAAGACAAATTTTGTAAAATTATTTCAAACCTCAGCATAAAAATGTAAAGAAACAAAACACTTAGTGTACAATCTATTCCATTTGGCAATGTGTAAATTATATTGAGAGATTAAAAACTATCTACAAATAGAATATAACAAAAAGGAAATGTGATTTAAGACGCGATCTCAGGTCCATAGCTCTTCAGTTCTTCCAAATTTGTAGATCAGAGTGCTAGAAGGATAGAAAAATCAATCATGAGAAAAAAAATATGTGCAAAAAGCAACACAGAACTTATTTTCTAAATATTCTTTGACAGGTACCTCACTGATGCCTTTGTTATCAATTTCTAAAATTAATAATCATGCTGTTGTTGGTCTGAATTCACAAAGTTTATAAAGCAGGTTGTCAACCCAGATGGCTGAACTTAGTTAAGTATTCTTCCTTACAGCCTGGGAAGTTATTATATAGCAAACCTGTAAGGAGAGGGCATATTTCTCATAGTGGTAGGTATCAGGGCCATTTTGCATCTCTTGTTGTTGTTAGGTGCCATCGAGTCGGCTCCAACTCACGGCGACCGTATATACAACAGAACAAAACACTACCTGAGCTATAATAACTGAAACATCCTAAAACAGATCATGTTGCAATTTCTTTTTAAAGCAGTTATCTAATTTATTTACATAATAACAGATCTAGAATTTGAACCCTAATCTAGTTGTAAGTTCAGTACCCTTTCTTCTTGGTCTCAAGAGATATATTATTCACCTACTTCAGATACCTATTAGGCTTCTCCCTCACCAAAGCAGGAGAGGAGGCAACAACTTTTTATACTAGTTTAGTTAATTATTGCATTCCTCAACATTTTACTATACCACCTCAGTGCACCCTTCATACATTTTCAGCCTAGGTCATGCTGTAATTCTTTGTTTCTTCAACAAATAATTATTGTATACCAAGTACTGGCTTGCAGTAGATATGTAGCTAAGAAATGAGAATGTGACTTTGGGTCAAAGCAAACAAATTTGCTAACGAGGAAGACAATCAAATAAATGTAAAATTTCAACTACAAAAAAAAAAATATATATATATATATATATATATATATATATATATATATATATATGCTATAATGGAGAGGTACATGTTACCATGAAAGTGAAATATACGGATCTGACCTAGTTAGAGAGGTCAAGAAAGATTTTCCTGAAGAAGCAGTGACTGAACCAAGATCTAAAAGAGCGGGAGTCATCTCAGCAAAGTGGGGAGTGGGGATGGGGGTACAGAGATGGGATACTCTGGGGCCATGAGTTGAATTGAAAGCCTGTTGATGTCTTGGATTTGAAATGCCAACCAGCCAAGGGAAGAGGTTAAGAATCTGGATACATGGTTTAGACCTGACAATAGACTTCTGTGACCCACTGGCATATAGGCAATAACTCAAGTTCTAAGCATAAATAAGATTATCTAGAGAGAGGAAAAGAGAAGATAGCTTAGAACTAAGCCTTAAGAAACTTCAAAAGCTAGAGGCCAGGAGTAGAGGATAAGTTTGCAAAGGAAAACAGAAAAGAAGTTGCACCCCAGTGTTTAGGCAGGGCCCAGCACAAAGGAAGCTCACAAGTTGGCCTAATAACCAGCTAATCTCTGATATTCCTTTTTTTTTTTTTTTTTTGTAAATTAATGAACATATTTGATATCCTTTTTTGAACAAGCACAGGCTATGGAAGCAGGAGTCTGGGTTCAAATGCTAGCTCTACATATACTAGCTAGGGGTCCTTATGTTCTGAGCCTTATTTCCTCATCTATAAAATGGGAATTTTACCTGATATTTATATATTTAAGATAATTAAATGGGAAATAAAAAGATAATATATAAAAAGCATGCAGCTGACCACCTGCCACATAGCAAGACCCTTATTTAATTGGCCTATGGGATGTTCTTCTGCAACAGTGGGATTTTCACTTTTTAATAGACGTTCTATCCATTCTAAGCAATCCCAGGGATTTTTTAAGTGTTCCATATATATGGTACTTTTATAACAAAGATGACACATCTGCAAATGTTACAGGTGTGATTGAGAAATCAGTCAACTTACCTAAAAAATATAAGTGCATTTTGAAAAAACACAGCTAGTCCTGGATAAACATCCGTATCTACATACACACACAAAAAAGTAAAACAGATCAGATTACAAAATGCAAATGGTAGTAACAAAGTATTTGGGTCACTCATAATGACATACTCTGTTATTACAAAAGGAGTCCCAGAGGTAAGTGCTTGCTGCTAACTGAAAGGTCAGAGGTTCAAATCCACCAGCTTCTCTGTGGGGGAAAGATGGGCAGTCTGCTTCTGTGAAGACTGTACAGCCTTGCAATCCTATAGGGCAGTTCTACTCTGTCAAATAGGGGCACTGTAAGTCAGAATTGACTCAATGGCGGTGGATTTGGTTATTATAAAATACTAGTCATTAACTGCAAGAAATCTATAATGAACTCAAAATAAGAAAATCTCAATCTTATGCTTCTGTAAAAATGCAGTTATCCTAGGAAACATAAAGGTTGCTGCCCAATGACTTATATTCACTAAAATGTACTTTTCAAAAGAATTTTTCCATGCTCAAAAAACTATCCCATTAAATTTTTAAATTTTACACTGCGTTTATGGATATTAAATAAATTCAGCTATTAAGTTGGAGTACAAATTTGTTTAAAAAATATATTAGGGTTCCTTTCACTCTAGATAAAAGACAACAAACTTAGCAGGTTTTCTCTTTATTTCAAACTACTATGGTTCTAGCTGTATCAATACCACTGAGTAAAACAGCAGCAGACATATGCCTGTCCCTTTGCTTCCCTACAGCCAATACAGAAATAAAGACGTTAGAGAAATACAAATTCAATTCCTAATTATTTAATACTCTTTTATTTTCTTTCATTAATTCAGGAATTTTATTTTTGTGAATCTGATGGACATAAAAAGGATCATTACAACTCATCACATGCTTTTCACTGAATCTATCTTGATGGGAGTGATTACTATCTCCATAGGTAAAGAAAAGAAAAACTGGAAACCAAGTTTTTGTGGATAATTAACTTCTATAAAACCACAAATGTGGATTAAAAGAACACTGGGTAGGATGAAGAAAGTGATTTAACTTTCAGCTTTTGATGTCATACCAAAAACAAAAAGCCAAACCCACTGCCGTGGAGTCAAATCCAACTCATAGCAACCCCTCCTTGGGGTTCCGAGGCAGTGTCACTACTTAAGTAGATTTCCCAACCTTCCTTCTGAGGAGTGCCTGGTGGGTTTGAACCCCCAAGCCTTCTGGTTAGCAGTCACATGCCTTAGGCAAGAGCATGATTAAAGGCTCCAACTTTGAGCCAGATCCCCGGGTTTGAATCTTAACTCTACCAATGACTAAATGCATGATCTTTGCAAAGTTCCTTAATTCATTACACCTTATTTTCCTCATCTAAGAAATGGGCATCATAACAGTATCCAGCCTGGTCCATAAGTGCTATACAATGTTAGCTACTATTATGATCATTAACAGTTCAAAAAATTTGTATAGAAAAGGATTTGAAACGTGTTGGAAATGCACTTCGAAATAAAGGCATAATCGCTCTACAACAGATCAACTGCTGTATGGAAAATAAATTTGTTAACTTTCACCCAAAACAGAATAAAAATTAAAAATAATTTTTTAAAAAAGTATATAATGAGCAACACTGTATAAATAGGAAGAGGAGATCAGGAATGGTAATTTATTCCTATTTTCATTATAGAAACTGAAATTTTTCACATGCTACTCCAAGTAACTACAGACCTTCTGAGAAAAATCAGTTAATAACAGCCCACTCTTCTTATAGTCAGTGATAAAATGAGTTTAAGATGTACTTTCCTGAATGTTTTCATTTATATGAAATAGGCAAATCCATATAGAAAGAAAATAGATTAGTAGATGCTTAGCACTGGGGGGTTATGGGAAAATGGGGAGTGACTAATAATGGATACAAAGTTTCTTTTCAGGGTGATAAAAATGTCTTAAAAATGGGATTGTGATAGTGGTTGTTGTTGTTGTTAGGTACCATCAAGTTGTCTACGACTCACAGTGACCCTATGCACAGAAAGGAACACTGCCCGGTCCCACACCAGCTCCACAATCCCTGCTATACTTGAGCCCATCGCCACAGCCACTGTGTCAATCCACCTCATTGAGGGCCTTCCACTCTTTCGCTGACCCTCCACCTTACCAAGCATGACATCCTTCTCCAGGGAATGGTCCCTTCTAATGGTTGTACAACTCAGTAAATACACCAAAAACCAATGAATTGTACATATTACATGGGTCAATTACATAGTATGCAAATTATATCCCAATAAAGCTGTTTAAAAAAAAGGACTTTGCTTCAGATGAGCTTTACACCAGAATTGTATACTCTATTAGCGTTTTTAATAAAAATTACACATTTTAGGTATAGGTGACTATATATTAGCCAACCACTGTCCTCTTATACTCTGACTTATTTTGTGCTAAGGAAAAGAGAAAGAAAAGTCAAAGGCATTCCAAAGATCTTAACATTGATCAACGTTGTAAGACTTAAGGGAATCCTGTCAAAAGTACTCCAAGGTCAACTGTGATTCGACAAGGAGATACAATAACTAAGCAAAGAAGGCTGACAAAGAGATTCCAGAAGGGTGGGGTCAGAGAATGAATATATTATCTGAGACTGACTGTCTCTGGCATGATGGAATAGAGACAGGGAAATGGTCTTATAATGCTGCTGAGCCTAGGTTCTGCTTTTCAATACCACTCCGAATGAAATATCATGATGCTTGGCACAGTTAGGAAATTTATAATGGTGTCATGAGCTCATTCCACTATATCAACTCTTTCTGAATCAAGGGAACATAAAAACCAAAACCAAACTTACTGCCACTGAGTCAATTCTAACTCACAGCAACCCTACAGAACAGAGGAGAACTGCTCCATAGGGTTTCCAAGACTAAAAATTCTTTACAGAAGCAGATTGCTTCATCTTTCTCTCATGGAGCAGCTGGTGGGTTCAAACCACTCATTTTCTGGTTAGCAGCCTAATAGCCTTAACCACCACACCACCAGAGAGCTCCATCAAGAGTACATATATGCCTTCAATCCTGCCCTTAAAAAATTCTCCTTGTACTTGAGTCTGAAAAATTACAGGCTGGGGTTGGAGGAGGTATGGGTGGAAAGAAACATATCCAGGTCCACAACCCCTATCTGAAATCCTTGGAGGAAAGATTTTGGAATTCAGAAAGTTTCATATTTAAGAATGGTAACAGCATATATTACATAGTGTACCTCCTACTGGGTCTGGGCCAGCATCTCATAATTAAATACATCAATATTCCTGTAATAAAACATTTAAATACTTACACTAAATGGAATAAAGACTGTAATTAGCCCTGGATAGTTGAGGTCAGATTCTGGGGCCAATTTGGTTATGGAAAAACTTGGTTTACACAGAGCATTGTGGATTCTGGAACTGTCAATTAGGGTATGTGAACCTGTGCTGGTTTTCTCACATTTACTACTGCAACCCTCAATAAATGGGCCTCCATAATAAGAGCCTGACTGTCCAAGAAAGGAAATTAGAAATTGTAGAGATGACAAAAAGTGACACAAATTCATCACTGGCTTGAGTTCCTAACCAGGGCTACCCTACTCCATCCTATGATCCCAGTTGTTTCAATAAAAAGATATACAATAAACAAATAAACAAGCTGTTCTACTAAATAACTTAGGTATCTTCAACAGAATTAATTTCTTCAGATTAACTAAATAAATTTTACCTTAGGTGGACTTAACAGATTAAGTTAAATATAAAAGATGTATCTGAATCTCTCCTATATAATAAAGGAGCAATCACTACTTACTTTGGGTAACATATGCACCAAAAAGAATCCACATGGAAGCAATAAGTGACCCAAACATCAACATGAAACCAATGAAAAGCCAAACTCGAGCACCTGTGGGAAAAATAGGCTTTATGATTTTGCTCATTTTTGCAGTTCTACAGTGTCTTAAGAATATTTACACTAGAAACAATTAATATAAATCATGCATATCAAAGACAGTCACATATTTATATACACTTGCTATTAACAGTTGAGTCAATGATGATTTTCAAAAAATTGAAAGTGGTTAAGCCATACTTGGAAAGGGAAAAAAGGGGAATGTTACACCTTTCTACTGGTGTAAGACCACTGCTATAGAAACTACTATCTGATCAAAGTAAACTGGACAAGTTTTGCTAGTAATTATTTGACTAAATTGATTAATGAAACACTAACTACTTTTTTAGCACAAACTTAAAAATATATATTTGATGAATAATACTGAAACAAAAAGGAAACATACTTATGTTTTAAATTACCCATCCAACCAAAAGAAATAAAATTATTATCACCAACTAGTTAAGGCCTGTTCTGGTTACCTAGTGCCACTCTGACAAGAAATATACCACAAATGGGATGGCCTTAACAAACAGGAGTTTATTCTTACAATTTAGAGGCTTTAAGTCCATGTTCAAAGTGCCAGGCTCTAGGGGCTGGGTAAAGCCCCTCAAACTTGGGATCCAGCTCTGCCTCCTGCTCCCAGCCCACTGGAGCTAGAGGTGTTTCTTCACTCAGACAGCTGCTGGCTGCTGAGGCTGAGAAGCCCCAAGGTTGACAAGTCAAAAGGCACAGTCCCGCTGTTACCAAACCACACGGCAGGCCATTAACTTAAGCCCATTGTAAGTCCCAAGGTCAGCAGAGCACAGCAGGCTGCTGAGCAATGACACAGCTACATGACGGGTCCAAGCATGCCACAGGCTAGAGACCATTCCCAAAGCTTCTCCTTATATACAGGAAGCAGACCACATACCCAAAGGCAGCTACTCAGCTGCTCCCAGTAGATTCCACCATGGAGTTGTTTACCAGTCTCATCATGGGGAGTACTACATCCAGCTGCCCAGCCACTTAATCAGGCCTAGCCAAGTTGACATACAAACATAACCATCACACGGCCTCTCTGTCCAAAAATTAGAGCTCTAATACTTGTAACACCTGTACCCGGTGTCATCAAGTAAATTCCGACTCACAGTGACCCTACAGGACAGGGTAGAACTGCCCTATAGCGTTTCCAAGGTTGTATGTAATCTTTATGGAAGCAGACTACCACATCTTTCTTCCAAAGTGGCTGGTGGGTTCAAATACCTGACTTTTCCACTAATAGCCAAACACTTTAAACACTGGGCTAAGTCAAATAATATCTGACTACAGACATATACCTCAGAGATATTGAGGGTTCAGTTCCAGACCACTGCAATAAAGCAAATATCATAATAAAGTGAGTCACACTAATATTTTGGTTTCACAGTGCATGAAAATTATGTTTACACTGTACTGTAGTCTAATAAGTATGCAACAGCAGTATGAAAAACTTTGAAATACTGTGAGATTTACCAAAATGTGACAAAGAAACATGAAGTGAGCACATGCTGTTGGAAAAATGATGCCAACAGACTTGCTCAACATAGGGTTACCACAAACCTCAATTTGTTATTGTTTTTTATTAACAACAACAAAAAAATTATCTGTGATGCACAATAAAGCAAAGCTCAATGAAATGAGGTGTGCCTGTGATAGAGACCTTCCAAGATAAACCTTACTCCTTTGGGTCAAATCCATGAGACTTTAAAAAATTCTTTGGTCAGCACTTAACTAATCACTAACCACTAAAGATTCTACTTCTTAAAACTGACTATCTTTCTGTGAAACAAACCGTTGTTTAAATAGGTTCTTTTATTAAAAGACTTCCCAGTCCTTGAGTTTTTATTTTCTTTCTGTATTAAATCCTATTCTTATTCATTATTAAAATGAATTTAAGAACTGAAAAATTACCCTATTGTACATATTATGAAAGAAATTGCTTGGTTATAAGTACCAAATGTATTTCAGGTAACTATCATCACACAAGAATTAACCATTTCAAATAAGTACAAATATGTTCCTTTTTAATGAACATTAAGCTTCTAAAATTACATTATTACTCAATATGGTAAAAAGATTGGTTATACTTCAGGAGCTATAGTTAGGCTCTTTTATGGTTGAGGTAGCCAACTTGGAGCATATATTCTTGAAAAGTTCAAGTTCACAGCATCTCTATTACACTCTACTATATGGAGTTCTGTTGTTGTTTGTTGTTATGTCCTGTTGAGTCAGATCCAACTCATAGCGACCCCTCCTTGGGTTTCTGAGGCGGTATCACTACGGAAGGAGATTGCCCAACCTTCCTTCCAAGGAGTGGCTGATGGGTTTGAATCACCAACCTTCTGGTTAGCAGTCAAATCCCGTAGGCACTACACCACCAAAGCTCCTATATGGAGTTCTAGAACCACAATAAAGTAATCACCTGGACACTTTAGCTGATTGAACACATTGTTAGGAGAGCAGTTTAACACTTGTGTTAGACCATGCTCATAGGTATACTGACAACCCATCTTACTGTAAGAGGGGACTAGAGCATTAAAGTGAAAGTAAAATACAAACTACTTTCCGTAACAGAAAGTTGAATCTCCCTCACTTGCAAATGTTCTTAATAATTCTATTACTAAGTCAACAGAGATTAATATATTAATATATTTTTAGATACCAGATATGCAAGAAGCAATGATCAAAGCTCAAAACAGTTAGAATACCTGATACCTGTGAGAAATAAGGCTCTCTGTCTTAATTTTTATACAATACTAAACAGATCTCCAGAAATATGGAGTAGTTCTTAGTTCTTAGAGAAAGACAGCCTCTAAATTATAATTCAATCACAGCTTTTATCTAAAGCAAATAAAAGGACCTAACAAATTCCCTATAACTATCTTCCACCTGTCCTTAACATATGACAACACACATTAAATTTTCTAACAGAATTTAGTAAGAAAAAATTTTCACTCTACTTCCCGTCCCACCACTGGCAGAACTGCACCTGGGGTGGAGATGTGGAGATGCACAGAAAGCGGTGGAGAACGGGATCATGCCACCCTGGGACAACAAGACACTCATTCACCAAGAAGCTGGACCAGTGGGCCAAGCAGCTGAATGAGTGTAAACAGGTTACTGAGAACTAAGTGTGGACTTGATGCAAAAAGGCTAAAGAAATTTTAACAAAACAATCAAATGCGCAAGAAGTTCACTGTGAGGAGTAATGGTAGGATGGCGGAATAGGCAGAGAAACTATACAGACCCTCTTCATGAGTGGACAATACCCCAACAAGTAGAAGAACCTGCACGAAAACTCCAATAAGGACAAATATGGAGCTACGGTCTGTCAGCAATTCTGACTGCACAGAGAGCTTGGAGATTGCCAAGTGGTTCAAGGCCCTAAGAATTAACCTAAAAATAAGTTCTGCTAGCCAGAGGCTGCATGGAGGACTGCACTGGTGGCCAGTGAATAAGAGGAGAAGCAGGAAGAGGGACACAGGCTGAGCTGTGGAATTTTGCCTGTCCAGAGGGACCAGCCATTTTCAATGTTTACAAGCAGTTTAACCATTTTCAATACTTAAAAGTGGACAATGTTCTCTCAGGTTCCAGGGACCAAAGAATGGGCTCCACTTGCCTGGAACCATAAGGATATTCTGGATGCAAATGAATGGAAAGGTGTGATGTTCTCCTTCCAATTCTTATACCCCACACCCTCTTGGTGAATGGAAGTGTGGCCATCCCTCACTCTCACTCATCTGGGCTGGCAGGAATTCCATCCCAGTCTGTGTGCTCTGGCAGAGCCTGGGTTCCCTGCCCCACCCAGATTTTTTTTTTTTAAGTTTGTTTTTGTCTGTTTTAAAATTATTACTATTATTCTATTCCGTGATTTTTATTATTCTTTATTCTTCCCTTCCCAGGTTCTAGTTTACAGCTTTTTCTCTCTTCCCCATTGCTAATTCCCATTCCTTGTCTTTCTTTTTGCATTTTCCCCATTTTTTTCTTCATTATTCTTCTACTCTACCTCTTTTCTCTTATCCCCTCCCCAGATATTGCCAGGGGGAGGTTCTTTTTTTTTCCTCTTGGTGATTATTCCTGTGTGTTTATGCAGTGTGTTTTGTGCCTACTTGCTTTTACTTGTTTAATGGTTTTTGAATTATTGTATTTGTCGAACTGAGTGGGAGACAGCACCTGTGCACATACAACTCAATCACACCTGCACCTCCTGCAGCTCCACTCACTAAGTGAGAGCCACCACTTCCTTCTCTACCAACTGGCCAAGGATAAACGACCACCAAGAAGATCCTGACAAACCCTTAACTGCTCCACACAGTTAACAGAAATCTAAATACAACAACATCACAATGCCTCAGAGACAACAGACCATCACAATCCACACTAAGAAGCAAAATAAAACAGAAGAAATGAGGGAGCAGGATACAGACCTAGAACACATCCCTGAGGAAGAAGCAGCACTGGAACTTCCTGATAGAGAATTCAAAAGAATTATACTTGGGTATCTTCAAAGGATTGAGAGTCAGATCAAGAAAAAACACTGAAAAAAATTAAAGAAAACTCAGACAAAACCCCAGAACAATTTCATAAGAAAATACATCAACTAAATGAAAAATTAGAAATGATACAAAATGTACAAATAGAAATCCAGAAGATTAATACTAAATCTTCAGAAATGCATAACAAATTGAAAGGGCAAAGGAGCAGACTTGAATCAATGGAAGACAAAATTAATGAGATTGAAGACAAATACCTGAATACTCTTTGGAAAGGGATCAATCAGAAAAAAGATCAAAACAAAATGAACAAAGCCTAAGGTTCATGTGGGATACCATCAAAAGGAATAACCTACATGTAATCAGAATACCAGAACAGGAAGAGAAAAAGAAAACCACTGAGAAAATTGCCCAAGATTTGTTGGAACAGAACTTCCCTGGTATGATGAAAGATGAGAATACAGCCATTCAGGACAGACCCCAAAAGAAAATCACCAAGAC